GGATCATGTGACGGATCATGTGACGGATCATGTGATGGATCATGTGACGTACCTGCCAACATACTGACCACTGACAGCAAGATCTTCTCCACGCTCTGGACTGGACTCCACCTCTCTGCACTGCTCTCGTAGCCCATTGGATCGTCTCCCGGAGCGTGAAGGATGGAGATACACACCCGACCATCGGGATAGACTGAAAGAAAAAAACTCAACTCTAAAAACCAAGGCTTTTATTTTGAAAAAACAAACGTGAAAGTTGTTTTTCTCTCTCTCCACTGTTGTTAAGTGTTAATTCACTGTTGACTGAATATAACGACAGCTCCTTTATCACCTGGATAGCCCCCTGGTGGCTGACTACAGTAAAGGCCATAAAGCCGGCATCCTCCATGTTAGCAGATGGGACAGGGAGCTTCACCTGTTTGTTTTTCTTCTCCATGCTTCAGGATCAAATGATTCAGTTACAGGAGGTTCAGTTCACGTCCACGCTGCTGCTGATGAAGATGATGACAGGTCAGCAGCGAGCCTCCTGTCCTTTAATCAGCTCGGAGTGTGTTCAGACACTTTGTGACATCATGCCTCAGACTGCTGTCCAATAATCACAGCGCTAATGACAGCATGCTAACGACATGCTGGCAGCGTGTTGCGACAGGTGAGACAATGGTTGAAACGAACACTGTCTCACCCACAACACTGTGAACGTCACTCAGACGATTTAATAACTGATCAGAGAAACAATAATCACAATAAAGAGCAGGCTGCCATCTGGTGGCAGCGTGTGGACTTACTGTTGGGGTGAAACATGTCGCAGGTGAACCTCATCTTTGGAGGACTGAGAGGATAATCAGATGGAAAACTGAGCACGGCAGGAAACACGCCACCCTCAAAACACGTGTCCTGAGGACCCCTGAAACAGAAACACAGAGAGAACACGGTACCGAGCTCAGAACGACAGGTTCTACAGATCAACTCAGGCTTCACAGCTCTGAGAACAAAAACATGTGGGTGAATTGACCATTAGTCCCTCTTCTGTCACAGAATCAGTGGGGTTCCTTTTACTAATAGTTCAATTGGTCCTGTTAGAGCTTTTAAGTAAGTAACGATATTCTAAATCCACAGTGGATCATAGTGTGAATGGACGCACACGCTGCAACAGGCTGCACCTGCGGCAGTGTGCGGGGTCGAGCAGCGAGACGTGATTTCAGTTTTAGTTCAAAAATCAGAACGTCGTTCAAGATGTCCTGTAGACGGTTCTGTTGCTCAAACAAAAGGTTCCAGGGTCTCTGAAGGGTCTGGTGAGGTTCTCTTTCAGGACTGTGTGAGTGTCGCAGGTGTGAAAGCACTGAATCGTGCAGCATTAAGTCACATGATCAGTGTTTCCAGATAGAAAGTGAAGAACTGATCTGACGTTTGATCTTATTTCTAAAACAGCCTGTATCACTGCTCATATCATGACGCTGATTTCACAACGTGTGTGTGTGTGTGTGTGTGTGTGTGTGTGTGTGTGTGTGTGTGCGTGCAAATGAGCCGCTGGTTAAATTGAAGGGCAGACTGAAGCTGTTGGCACGTTAACGACAACAAGAGCAGGTTCAGTTACACATAATGATGATGATTCACTGACATCACCCTCTGCAGGAAAATAACACACACTCACTCACTCACTCACTCACTCAC